TCCACAATCTGTACGTGGGACAGAGGCAGCTGTTGCTGCGTGCTGGGCTCTGTTTGGCACTGCCCCGGAATCAATGCAATGCCATTTTCCTGCCGCGGCTAGGCTACACTTAACCCCCTGCCCACCCAGTAGCAGGACACACGTGGCATCACGCAGCTCCAGAGGTGGCAGAGAGCAAAGCCCAGTACACAGTGGCAGCTGCCTCTGCCCCGTGCACAGATCAGGGGGCACATGCCCCCCGGGCCTCCACCAGGCTGCACACAGCAGCAGGAGCCCTCCTGCACCCCTGGACAAACCACCCAGGTTCCAACTGTCCCACGATCCAGCCCAGCCAGGGCCCTATTCACACCAGTCCCTGCCCTTCTCCCCCCCTCACTGCTGGGGCCATGATCTTTGCCCCCCACAGCCCTTCCCCCACAGACTTACCTGCTTGGGGGGAGGGGACATGTGCACGCATGAGCATGCGTGACTAGTGCCACCCCACAATAATCTTTTCTCCCTCTGCCTATGTCCAAATGCCCTTTGAACCTAAATAGATCACAGCCGGCAAGAGATGCAGGGGATTGGGATTTAACAACAGGAAGTGACAGAGTGGTGAGGTCTATGACCTATTTTCTATCTCCTACTGTCTACATTAGTATAAGCAAAGTGGGCAAGTGTACACAGCTAATAGATAGGTCTTAATGATGAGGTAAGGCTTAAGAGCTGTGGACTAAAATTGAGAAAAAGGACTGACAAGCAACATTAAGGGAAAGACTTTGGCATATTTTGTGCCAGTCACAAAGATAAAACTACAATATATATATATATATATATAAGCACAAACTTGGCATCCACCTTCCTGCATTTATAAGCAATTAAACTCATGATATGAATGTATTCATTTGACAGAGGTGTGTAATGAATACCCAGGACCAATAGGTACTTCTATCTACCCCAAAACAGCCACTGAACTGATTGATTCTTGTAGGAAGTAGCATGGTGTTGTTGGCCTTTATATTCACCTGTGCAGTGCAATGGGAGTCACTCACCACACAACAGGGGAGGTGCTACACAGAAGGACTGACTGCACTGTGTATACAGGTGGCTTGCATGGTGCAGTACACCTGCACATCCAGACCATGGTGCAAGTTGGAGGCTCACACAGCACATCTGGGCCCATGGACTACAGTGCAGTCAGGGCTGGGGAGGGAGGGGGCAAGACAACTTGTGAGGCATGGCATGTGCCTGTAACATGTAGTCCAGGAGCGTGCCACCCGCAGCCCCAGCCATGTAGAATAGCCCAACAATACAGGGATTTTCTACTGAACATGACTGACATATCTAGTCTGATCGTCTGTACCATATCCCAAGAGCCACATGGCTTATAGCAAAAAAGAGGCTTTGCAGAAGTGTTTGCATTTTATTTTTGTTTGTTACTCCACTCAACACTGTCATAGAGGACTCTAAAGTGAAAATCAATCAATCCAGACAGCATTAGGAAAGAAAGTTGTTTGCCCTCATACCCATTTTACAGACGGAGCAGCAGAGGCTGGTAATGACCTGCCAAGCCCACAAACAAGTCTATCTGGGTTAAACCAGAGAAGGTGCTGTCACTTCATCACGTATACACATATCACACCAGAAACTATGCTGTACCTGCTGGAGTGTCAGCAAGGCCTTTGAAAAGGTACATTACAAGCAACTTTGTCTCTGATCCATCAACTAAAAGTTCTCGTGGTTTATAAAACATCAAACCTTCCTACATCCCACATATTTGCTTCACTCTCAAGTAACAGTTTTCCGGAGTACAGATTGCCTTTTCATGAAGATGCTGTTCTGCTGTATGAACCTATCCTGATTGGGTGGTACAGGATACCTCTGATACTTTTGGGTGGGAAAGAAAAAGCTGCAACAGAAACAGTTAATGTGCTGTTGGTGAAAGATTGTTGTTTGGTGTTTTTTTTTTTTTCAGGAAGTTACAAGCCTTCCCTGGCCCTGCTCATATTTGAATCTTTTACATGGGACAAAATGCAGAAGAGCTACAGATTGCAAAAGCTATTGCACAAATAATCATAGACTTTGAGGTAAACAGGCTAAGGCCATCTGAGTTATCCGCACATGGAAGGAAAAAAGTCATAATACGCAGATAAGGGGATTTTTATGTTACAATTCTGATGAGAAGCATCATCCCTTTCTGAAAGGAACTGTGAATAACACAACGTACAACTTGGCAGAAAGCACCGACAATACTTGTTTAATTGGACAATGAAGCTCCAGATATAAAACACACTGGTGTGCTTAAGCTGCATTATAGTAATGTGTCTAACAAGACTGACGGAAAGGAGCAGGCCTATATCCACAAACTTACTGTGTCAAGCAGAGATGCCCTCATCCACAACACACTGCTCTGCACAGGCTAGCTCCTGAACCAAGAGAAGTTTAACGACATTTGTGCAGAGCTGGGGGAGAGCTATTAGTACTGCTGGGTGTCCATTCCACTTTGCCCAGCCACTGACCTGCATGAAGGGACTAGTGAGGCTACCACTGCCTGGAACATACATGTGGCAGAAATAAAGCCAAGGAGTTCTGGCCACATAACAGGTGACAATTACTTCCCCAAGGTGAGTTTTGTTTGTTTTTTAAAGGAAAAACTCTAAATCTTAACACAAAGTGGTCACTCTGTTGTGCTGGACACTCTGTGCTAAGCAGGAATACCAATTATGCCTTGTTAAACAGGACTGCAGCATTCCTGGTCCATATCACAGGAAGATGAGTGTCTCACAAAAGAAGCAATTAGTTTTAAAAGAATTCAGAAGGAGAATTATGAGCAATTATATCACTATTAACTCTTGCTCATCACGCAGCCATCAAAAGTGTACATTGTTCAGCATGCACTAATTCAGTTAATAAATAGGGACCTGCAAAGAAAGATATAAAACTGCTTTCTTTATAGAGATGGAGAGAGGGGCAGGGGTTACTTGTATTTACATCTATCTAACTAAGTGTGGAAATAACCTTCCCTCTAGTACATTTTCACAGGATGTGAAGAGACCTGCTGTATCCGAGTGCAGCATGCTGGCTTTTACAAGGGGGGAGAGCTTAGGTAACCCCAACATATAATCCCGTTCATGAACTGATCAAGGTCCGTCTTAAAACCAGTTAGATTGTTTCACTCGCCGTACTCCTATTGGAAGGATTCTCCAAGAACCTCATTCTTCTGACAGTCAGAAAAACATCTAGCCAAAGTTTACCAATGACCAGGTTGTATGCTTATGTTCTCATACCAAGACTGTCCTTTAGCTCACAGTTTTCTCTCCTCTGGTATTTGCCCACCATGTATTTATATAGAGCAATCCTAGCCAGTGTCAGGTATATTTTGCTAGGTTAAACAGGCTCTTTCGGTCTTCTCCTGTAAAGACAAATTCACTATTCCCCCACTTCTTCCTGACTGCCCTTTTTAGTGCCTGCTCCAGTTTGAATTCGACTTTTGTGGCACGGGTGACTAGAACTGTACAGAATAATCCAGACGATTATTCTCACCAGAGGCAAGGCAGGACAGACAGCTTTGTGCCCTGGGCCCACCTTGTGCACAGGGCAGTGCAAGTTAAGTGGCCAGCTGCAGCAGCAGCTGTTTTCACACTCCGACTGCTATGCAGCACCCATGGAGTGGAAACAGACACCATCTGTTATCTCATTTGTACCACTATAAAAGTTTTTATGGAGGCATAAATGCTGAGCAAAGAGAAGGAAGGGGGAAAAAAAAAAAAATCAGTGGCACACCAAAAGGTGGTAAAGGACTCTGCCATGTTACTGCAAAGTACATCTATTACCGCTGTGGTAGAAAAGTACAAGCAGCCTTAGCTGATTGTGCTCTCCCATCACCCTTGGCAGTTGCCCACTTTCCTCACTGATAGAGGCACCCTGGGGAATTTGTCTCCATAAGGGTGCTTTTTCCTGCCCAGCCAGATCCAGGTCTCGAGTCTAGCTGTGTAGAGAAAAGCCCTTCTTTCCCCACTCAGTCAGACCTATCCCTGGTAATCACCAAGAATGGGTCTGGCTAAGAGGGGAAAACAGGGAGATCACATCACCCCCAAACCCACACCATCAAGGACAGGACAACAGGCAACATAAGCTTCACCCAATGAAGTGATCAACTGTGCCTAAACACATTGCGGCACAGCCTATCCACTTCATTTGGTGACATCTGTCTCTAGCCAGCATTGCTACCCGTCACCCCTGAACAGTTGCACCACTGAGTCTCATCAGTGTCTTCTATAACATCATTTACACAAATTTGCTTTCACAGCTGTGTCATCACTGGCCTCTATACTCACAGGATGATTCATATAGACAGGTCTTTTTCCTCCTCTCTCATTTCCAACTGATGAACCACCCACCATGCAGTCTCCCTTCCTCTTGTAATAGAAATTCAGAAGCCTACCTATTGAAATGCTAAGCTCCCAATGGACATTGGAGTCATCCAAAAAGCACTAGAGTAGCAAAGAAATCAGGAGAGCCTCATTTTACCCCACCTCCTGCTTTTAAACATCTTTATGAATATAGTTAATGCCCTTTGCAGCCAGTAGGACTCTTTCCATGCACTTCGGCAACCTCTGATTAGATCTAAATCCACTCTCTCAGTCTGAATAGAAATAATAATGGTAATACACGGTGCAAGTAAAAGCACCACAACCAAGCGCAGGTCTAAAACAAAACATCAATAATAAATAGCAGCATTCAGAAGATGGCTTTGCCATCTCCGTCTCCCTGCCAGATCATTTCTTTAATAACCAGGTGCTTCCAACATAGGTTTATAATGGCAAAGTGTGCCAAGTAGACTTTTTCCCCTTCAGTTGGTCCCTCTGCAAACATGCACTAAGCATCTCAGCAATGTAAATGTGGCAATAAATCACCCAGTGCTAGTTACATTTATTCAATAAAATCTTTATCAGAGTTAATTTTCAGGTTTTTTTCAAGTTTTCCAGCACCAAAAGCAATTCCAATAAGCTACACAAGGATAAAAACAAACATTCTTTATTTGCACCAAAAATACAAACAGCTAATACTTCAAAAGTAGACATTATATATATATTTATCATCACACTCACCAGAAAACAAACTTAGGTTAAAAGATTAGCAGCCAGAAGAAATTCAGCTTTTTCTTTTCCTGGTTATTTTCTGTACATCTCTTTTTTGGAACAGGAAATTCCAGGAAATAAAGAAAACCCTTTACGTTTTCATATGAAAGATATTACTAAGATGACAGAATTGTGTAAAGGAAACTAGTATTACAAGGTAACAAAAAGGAATAACAGAAGATATAGGTTGCCAGGTATTTCTTGTGTGTAAACATTGCTGCTGCTTAAAAACAAAACAAAACAAAAAAACAGCAAACAAAATATCACATGAGTACTTCTGTTTGGCTTAGCAGCCAGGAAAATAATAAAAGCTGCTTTTTTTTTTTTTTTTTTTTTTAAGTGCTTAACCCCTATATCCAGGAGTAATGACTTTCAGACCTACTTAATAAGAATGTGCTCAAAAAGCCAATGCTTAGGGTATAAAAGCTGTCATTCTGTAACTCTGCACATACAAACTGGCTTTATCTGCATGAATGAAAGATTGCTTTGAACAGTCCTCAATCATATGATGTCTCAAATCAAAGTAATGCTATTAGGGGCAGCAGTCGAATAAATCCCAGCAGGCTGAAATTTGAGTACAATCAATATAAAAATAGGCATCTTTAAAACAAATAATTTCCCCCTGTCCTAGGAAGATAACTGCACACGGTAAGGAACGTAAAACATTTTTCTACTATTGTGACAGCTTACCTATAACAAGCTGAAGCGTCAGCAAGTTCCCTAGAGACAAGAAATCCAACCCTATTTAGGCTTTAAACACAAATCAACCACTCCAAGTAATTCATATGATTAGCAGAGGGATATAATACTTCCTACTCACAAAATGCAAAGAAAGCAGTTGCATTAATAGCAGCCAAATGCTGACACATTTTGTTACTTAATATTAAGGGACCTTCAACTTGATTTTAAACTGACAGTATGTTCCAAGTCTATTTTGAAAAATGTTTTAGGATCTTTTTTCCTACGTTGATGTTTAGTCAGGTCTTTTTAGCATGGGGAAAAAAGTGACCAATTAGCTAGAGACAGAACCAAGAAACCAAGCAAACCATAAAAATGTCATCAAACCACAGAAAGTTAAAGAAAAAAAATGCTAACTTTTTAGTCAGAAGCTTCTCACATGAGTAGTTTTCACAGATAAATTTATTTGATGTGCCCTTTAATCTTATAGTTGTAACATGGGATGGAATATGGACCCTTTATTACAACCAGCCTCATTTCAACCACCCTTGAGGGTTGTTTTTTTTTTAATTTCAGCAAAGTGTTGAGAACAGTTGAGGACTAATCTACCAGACAAGTTCCTGTATTAGCACACCACTAAAAAACTGTGCATTTAAGATGTCAGTAGGCCTATCAACTTTAGTGATTATGGTACAAGTTTTTGTTTCTGATCTACAGAGTACTATAGGTTTTACGTTTGTTAATATTAACCTTGTAACAATGAACCTAATTTTAACAGATTCTAGAAAGTTAACTAAGGGCAACAAAATTCAGTACAGAAAAATCAAAGGTTTGAGCACAATATATTTACCTTAAGACTGTTCTGAAGTTCTACAATAGCTGTGTTTTTCTGCTATTAAATATTAATTTGTTTTAATAAGAATATCTTTTTCGCCAAAATATGCATAAGCACCTTTTAACTTAAACTACCACAGGCTCTAACCCAAGCAATTCAGCATCTCCAGTGACTTATCTTAACCTTTTAAAAAGGATAAATCAAAATATAAATAAAAAGAAAATAAAACAATGTTGATAAAGTAAAAGACCAACACTAACACATACCCAACTATATCCATGCAGATGTGTTATACCAAAAATAAGACTCTTCACACATAACATTTGAAAAAATAGGATTTTAGTGGCTTGTGTGTCTAACCATTTAAATACGTAGTATGTTTCCAAGAGAGCCGAATGCTGCTATTATCTGTGAACACCAACAATGTGCATCACTGGCAGTTCTGCTCTGTTTGTAGCTGACATTGGAATTACGTATTCAACTTTCAGACATTTAAAGAGACCATTAAAAAAAAACAACAAAACAGAGCAGCATGACTACTGAGAGGTATTACTAGGGGGCTGGTTTTACAGATCTGCAGCGAAGCCCTACAGAACCTAGATTTGACCAGATGGAATTTTTACTTTGAAACATTCTAACTCCATTACTGACTTAAACCAAAACCTTCAATGCATAAATTAAACTTTGCTAAGTCACAAGAACCACATCAAAAAGAACAGATACAGACTGTACTAATATATAGGGAAATTAAAAGAACTGACAAACTAGATTTTTATGGAGTGACTATAGCGAATGAAAAAGAAAAGGAAATAAAGAAATGAGAGAAGTACAAAAGAAAGGTACAAAAACCTGTATAAAGTCAGAAAAGCTTCAGCACATCTGAAGAGATCAAAATTATTCTTCAAAACCAAAGCCTATACAATGTCTCAGAGGCCTGCCTTCCCATGTTTGTTAATATACCCGTTTAGGAGTCAGACAGCATTCTGTTTAACTTGTGTAGTTCTATATCATTACACTGAACCATAATTAAACTCCTCTTTTGTGCCATCCTTAATCCATCACAATTGTATCCAATATACCCGCAGTTGCAGTTTTCAGGTTTTGTCTTTACAGCTCAGCTGTATTTTTCCTGGATGTTCACAAGACTGGCATTTGACTGGAAACGCTTGGCTAGAAAGAAAAATGTTCAAAATTAAAAAAAAAAAAAAAAAGATACACAAAAGGCAGTTTCCCCACACCCTCAATTTATCTGGCATATAATACTGAACAATGCTAAGGCTTGCCCATTTCAACAAAAACATATGGCTTGGAATCCATTTCTTCCATTTTTTACAAGTCTTCAGGTTCCAAGATGGTTAGAAGTTACCATCACCTCCTCAATACTGCAGACCCCCATATTTAGGAGCCTCAAATTTTCCATGGTGCCCTCTCAATTTCAAAAATAATGTTCTGACAGCACTACTTACGCAGAAACAGTATACGCTTCTTCTGCTTTGAGTGAAGGAAGCTACTAAGATAAAACACAACTGGCAAGAAAAGGATAAATGAAGAAACTGCAATCACTGGGACTGTATCACTGCAGGGGACAGAACAGTTAAAAGTCCTACTCCAAAGCCTTCGAGTAATGTTCATCTATTAGAAAAAACAGAGGAACACATGGTGAGAAACTGATGCATTCTGGACTGTATTGCTGTTTTAAACAATACTGCAAAGTTCAAAACTTTTTAAATAGCGCAGTAGCAACTTACAAGAGCTATTTAAAGTGCTTAACTTAAAAAAAATAGAAATAATGGGCTAAGTGACTGAAGGAAATGGCAAAGCTCCTGCTGACTGCAAAGGAGAATGGATTATACCCAATATTTCAGAGCAGCAATTCCCAAACAGTGGCTCTCACAACACTTGCTGAGGGTTAGTGAAGATCACATTGGCTGATCACACACAGCTAAAAAACACATTAAAAGATAACCAAATATACATGAAGAGCTTTCTTAGTATGCATGAGCCCTATAAGCAGCTATTGTAGTTAGGAAGTAGTTACAACAGTTAACTGGACCTGTAGCTAAAGAACTTCAGATAAAAACCAAAGATTACCAGATCTCTTCCATGTACCTCCAACCTGGAAAAAGCTGGAATGTTCCCTTCACAACCCCCTCAGATGGAATTAAAAGCCCTGTTGCCCAAAATGGACTGTGAGGGGGATTCTAAACTAATATTCACTTGTCAGAAGTGGGAGACTCTTTAATAAGCACTGGAGGTCCAGACCTCTGTTTTACACACCTTCCAAATGAACAGCAGTATAATCAAGTATCCTGGGGACCTGGTTCAGCTAATAACTCAGAAGAGTGAGCAACCCATGACATTTTTTGAAGCATTTAAATGTTTTATTTCTCAAGTCACAAGGCATTACCATCCCTCAGTGCACCCAACCTGAGACCACTATATAGTGTGACATAAGTAGTTTCTTTGGCATGCCAATGATTGCTTCCAATGCTGAAAAGTAAAGGGAGATGCCAAACAGGAATGAATTAAAGCAGGTAAGAGACGGCTAAAGAGAGTTAAGCGAAATTTCTCCTTTGGGCATCAGATAGATAATAGATTGAGAGGAAAATACTTACTGCATCTTCCACATCAATACACAAGTGCTTGCTGTGTTCTGATTCGCCATGCTCTGACTCTCTCTGCATTTCAGTATACAGAGTATTCAGCTTTTTATAAGTTACATTACAGTTTCTGCATACCTCTGTATAGTTACTTGCTACCAAACTGATTGCTTGCCCCTGAAACAACAAGTAACATGAACATAAAATAAAAATAACTTTAAAAATCCCGAATCCAAAATATTAGCATACCAAAAATGTGGAGTCTACAGTGAAGGGTTTTTTGGTTGTTCCCAACTTCTAAACAAAACCCCTCAGTGAATTAAAAGTGTTACCCTATTTTTCCACAATTCGATGTATATGAATTGCCTCTTGCAAAACCAGATGTTATCCAAATATTAAATATTTGCAAATAGGTATTTAAACTGCTGACTTCTAATGTTAAAACAAAGATCGTTAACAGCAAAGTTTATCCTAGAACTATAGATCAGCTTTCCCCTGACCCTCCACTGACCTCTTCATAAGTAAAAATCAAACATTGAAAGGTCATACTCTAATTATTTTGAGCTTTAATAACTACTACTATTGTCCCCTCCCCAGCAATCCAAGATGATGTTTCAACTTGAGTCCCTTGAAAATGCAGAGAAGTGTAGTGGAGAAATATCCAAAAGGTAACCAAAGGGGTTAGGCACCCAGATACAATGGAACAATCTATTCCAAATAATCTACGTTGACAGAATACAGGACTGCCCCTTCTCCTCTAAGAGTGCATTTGAAGTTTGCTTCTTAATCATAAATATTGTCCTTTGTGGTTTTAGGATCGAAACATAAGAATATCAAGTAGTTTAGCTGTACGAGGAAGATGACTTCTCTGAAAATTCTTATCACATAGGTAGGCTGTAAAGGAAGAAGGGGCAAATAAGATCTTCAAATTCTACTGTTTAAGTACTATCATCACTAAGAAATAATTGCATGAGTTCATAGCCAAAGGCTGAGCTCACCTCTCCAACACCTTTAAAACCTCACTTTTCAACTTAAGTTAACTGTCAAAAAACTTGCGATATGATCCCCTTCAAACTACCTTGCTTAGGAAAAAAAAAAAGGACCATGAAGCCTTGGAAAGGCCATCTCTGCTAACACCTGACCACTAAACATGGTACTACTCAGCACTACCCAGCCTGAAAGAACGGAGAATAATGGATCTAAAATGACAACATTAGGACTGGTCAAAAAAACCCACTTTTACCTGGGGAGGTGGGGGAGGAGGAATAAGCCTTCTGACCAGTTCCAGACAACACAGTCCAAGAACTCCAGTCGTGTGTAAAGTGCTCTAGCTCAGGCATGACAGATCCTCAGTCTTAGGTAACAGAGGGTCCCTCTGTTAAAGATAGTAAAAATTCCTCTTTAAGGAGGACTAAAAGACCCATTCAGCATCATTTTACTGGGCCCAGAATCTACACATTTTCAGCTCAGTGCACACATTCTCCAAAGCATTTAAATCTAAGCACAGATGTGCAGAGCTGGTAGAGACTAGGGCTGTGCGAAGCTTCGGTAGCCGATTCGATTCGAATTAAAAGCTCAGAATAGATTTGGAAAAGCTTCAGAAAAGATTTGGCCACTTTGGAGATTCAGCCATAGACAGTCTGCTGGGGTTGGGGCGGAGGGGGAGGCAATGAAGGGATTGGGGTTGGAGCTGCATGTTACTGGGGGAGGAGGGTGGGATGTGGGCATGACAGCACTCAAGAGGGGGAGCTATGCCTTGCTGTCATTTGCCCGGGGGGGGGCAGGATGCAGGCATAGCTCGCTCCAGGCGGAAGAGGGCAAGCAGCAGCAGGGCATAGCCCCTGCTCCCAATGCTGCTGCGCTCACATCCCGTGCCCCACCATGCCAGCTAGGCAAGTGGCGGCAGGGAAGAGCCCCCGCTCCCAGCGCCGGCACAGGCACGGCAGCGCTGGGAGTAAGAGCTATGCCCTGTTGCCGCCTGGAGCAAGCCACGCCTGCATTGCACCACCCCTCCCTGCACTGGCTGGGCAAGCAGCAGCAGGGCATAGCCCCGCAGCTCCCCCCACCAGGGCAGAAGCAGGTACAGCCAGAGGAGCTGCAGGAGAAGCCCCCATGGCTGCCCTGCCCAGCCCAAGCCCTTGCCTGGTCCCAGCCTAGTCCTGGCACTTGGCTGGGCAAGCAGCAGCAGGGCATAGCCCCGCAGCTCCCCCCACCAGGGCAGAAGCAGGTACAGCCAGAGGAGCTGCAGGAGAAGCCCCCATGGCTGCCCTGCCCAGCCCAAGCCCTTGCCTGGTCCCAGCCTAGTCCTGGCACTTAAAAGCCCTGTACTCACTGGCTCTGGCAGCAGTGATCGGGGTCTCTGAGACCTCATGGCAGAGTCCCCTGGCACAGCATGAGGCAGTGGGAGGCAGCACAGATCATCCCCCCCCTGCTTGGCACCCGCGCAGCAGCTGCCCCATGGCATGGGTGCAGCGCAGCTCGGCAAGGCGCTGTGCACTGTCTGGGAGCTGGGGCACCTCCACCTGTCAGCCAGAGCCTAGTACCACACAGCCCCAGAGGCCCCAGCTCCCAGAAAGCGCACAGCACCCTGCTGAAACGTGCTGCAGCCCCTGATGTGACAGCTGCTGCGTGGATGCCACGCGAGGGGGATGATCCCCACTGCACAGGGGGGCTCTGCCACAAGCTCCTAGGGGCCCCAATCACTGCTGCTACAACCAGTGAGTGCAGGGCTTTAAGTGCCAGGACTAGGCTGAGGCCGGGTAAGGCAGCCATGGGGACTTCTCCTGCCACTCCCCCTGCCTGGAGAGAGGCAAGCACAGCTGAAGGAGTCACGGGAGAACCTGCAGATGCCTGGCTGTGCCTGCCTCTCCCCAGCCGATCCAAATCACCGAATCTCTCCGAATCTTCTGAAGCCAATTCATCCGAATCAAATCACTGTCCTCCAAATCGTCCGAATCCAAATCGAATACTTCCCTATTTGCAAAGGCTTAGTAGAGACCTCAAGAGGTCATCTAGTCTACCCCTCTGCTCTGAGGTAGGATCAAATGTACCTACACCATCCACAAAAAATGTTTACTTAGCCTGTTCTTAGAAATGTCCAATGACAGGAATACTGGCACCTCCATTGTTATCTAGGAAGTTAAACACTAAAACATAAATTAAGAAAACACTTTCTAAATATAATCTAAACATACCTTGCTGCAAAAACAAACTGTTTCTTGTCATCCTACCATACAATTAATCACTGTCCTCTAATTATTTTTTTATATACTGGATGATTTTTAGGTCCCGTTCCCCCCCCC